ACCGCTGTGCCCACTGTCGGGCGTCCCTCCGCTACGCCCGAAGCCGCCGCTGCTACCGTCGTATGGTAACTTTCCGGTTCGGCCAGCCAGTAGAGCCGTGCCGGCGTCGTCCGTGATGGTTTGTCGTTGTCGTTCAAGGAGCAGGAGAGCGGATCGGGTCTGAAGGAACGTGGGCATCGGTTGTTGGAATTGCAAGAATGATGTCTGAGCCTGGAGATCTTCGGGTAGCCCACGAAGCATTTGAAGCACAAGTTGAGACTCAAAGACCGGGGCGTCAATATCATCCAACCAATCGGCAATGTTTCGCAAGGTTTGACAGTAAGTAGCCATGGTCATCGAGCCCTTGATGGTGGTTCGAAACTGGTGCTCGAGTTGCATCGCCCGAGCATGTTTGTTGTCATGAAAGAGAGCATGAATGACCCGCTAGAGTTCAACGGTGGTGGTGGTGGTGGAGATAACCAGATCTGAGACTTTGTCAGTGATGGTAGAAAGAATCCAACCTTGGATCAGGGCGTCAAGTTGGTACCATTCATCATCTTCGGCAGAGGAAGGAGTGGCAGAACCGGAGAGAAAACCGTGAAGGGTAAATCGGCGCACCAGGAGGAGAAAGAGCCGGCTCCATTTTTTGTAGTTGGGCTCAGAGAAACTGAGCTAAATCGGGACATGAAGCCTAACGTTGGAGATTGTTGTGAAGGCAAGATGAGGAGCATTTGAGGAGGAGGAAGAGGTTGAGTTTTCTGAGGGTTTATCAAAGGAAGCCATGTGGAGAGGGGAAGGTGCTACCGTCGCCGAGACGGAGAGAGGGGCTGTGTTGTGCTGCTGCTGCCGCCGAGAAGAGAAGGACGGCGGGTGGTGTGCGACGCTGGAGAAAGCACGCCGAGAGGGAGAGAGGGAGCACGGGTAGGGTTAGGGTTTTTTTGAGTTGAGAGATTATGGCTCCGATACCATGAAGAATTGTAATTTTCCTTGAACAATAAAGTGGGAGTACATGTGTTTATATACACAAGCTATTCCTAATCCTAATCATGGTAGGATTCTACAATAGGAAACAATATACATACAATAAATATAGAATATTTATTTAACATAAATATAGAATATATTTAATAATTTGCATCTTCTACCAGAAATACAATTCTAACTACTGTTATGTGTTTCTTATAAATTTTATTTTTTTTTAATAAATTGGCATTGAAAAAGGTGCATGACTAAATAAAATCGTTAACCAAGTGTGATGACAGTTTCAACCTCATTTCATGTCACGAAGATGATTTTTGATGGAAACTCTAATGAACTCAATTAGTTTCGGTCTAGATACATTTAGTAATCTATGGTTGTGTGTTTCTAATGAGTCTCATTCCTTTAAAATCAATATCGTATATGGTTAAATATCGATTTCTAGACGTATTGGGATGCTGAAGTTTGGCCGATTTATTGGGAAATGTAGAAATTTATATGGCCGTGTGCATTTGGATGCTTTAAATCAGGCATGCAATCAACATTTAATGCACTGGGCTGCTTTTTACATTACATAATACCTCTATGTCGCATTCGAATTAAATTAATAGATTGTACAAATTTTAAAAGTTATTTCACATTAATTGAAGTAGTTAGAATAAGACTATGGTCACATGCATTTGAAGTGCTTTAAATCAGGCATGCAATCAACATTTAATGCAATGGACTACTTTTTACATTACCCAATACCTTTATGTCTTATTCCAATTAAATGAATAGATCAACAAATCATGAAAGTTCTTTTGCATTAATTATTGTTGTTAGAGTAACACTTTTTCTAACTATTTATAGAACCAAAATACTACAACTCATTCACAACATCCACCATCACCATACTGAAAGCTTATTCATGTAAGAAATGTGCGTAAAATATGTCCTAGAAACCTAACATGGAAATGTGGAATGCCCTTAACCAAATTGATAATAGTCGCACATCATGGATGCTGAAATTACAAGTTGTGCTTGTCTACTTGGGAGGTGATTTGATGGAAGTTGTCTTCCATGATGAACATGTATGTTTACTATTTATTGTGTTTGTCAATATTCACCTACTTACAAATAACATTCCTAATATTTTTAATTTTTGAAAGGGAACAGAGATACATGTTCATCTTTAAAAACCCGAAAAGAAGCCTTTTGAAAACCAAATCGTTGAAGATGGTGTCTTTGGTATTAGAAATGTTTTTGTTCATGATAATTGCTTTTCATGCATGACAACATCAAATTCTTCTTTGTTGGTTTTTTACGTGAAGACCAAAGTGAAAACTCTGAGTGAAGATGATTTTCTTAAAATAAATTCAATTTAAAATCCTTTCCTAGATTTCAAACTTAGCCCTATTTGAAGGATTAACTTTTAATCGGTATAAATTCTTTCTAAATGATATTACCAAATACGTCAAGAAAATTTTAAATTGATAGAGAATAAAAGCAAACATTATAGTTGTTGTCGCTCGCTGCAGATGTTTTTGGGAAAATTGTTCGGCGCTCAAAAATTCAAACCCATATAAAAAGATTTGGAGAAGAGAAACTCATGGAGAATTCTGAGGTTCTATTGGTTTGTTAAGCACCTGTAAGCTTAATGGAAGTAATGTAGCTCGAGAGAGTCTCTCGGGAGACTAGATTAGCCACAAGTTATGATGAACCAGTATACATTAGTCTGATCTTTTCTTACGCTTTGTAATTCTACACTTTACTTTATCCAATGTGATTTTTATTCCACGTAAATTTATCAACATTCTAGTACATTAATATTAACCTCCATCTAATAGACGACACATATTCTGAAATAAATATATAGATATTATGGGACAAAGATTTCTGAAATAAATATATAGATTGGTCCAGGAACGGTGGGGGTGTGGGTAAGGTTGAGGGGTATTTTAGAAAAGTCAATGTAAATTTTAACTTTTATTAAACTCCGTGCCCGATCAAAGTATTATAGAGACGACCCTGAAATACTTCGGGTGAGAATAAGAGTTTCGAGATTTTTGCCCAATTCTAGGGGGTGTTTGTTTTTTCTGCAGGAAAAGGTCTGCAGTCTGCGGACCACTACTGTAGACATCTGCAGGAAAAGTGGTGGACTGAAGGTCTGCGATCTGCAAGAAGAAGACTGTTTGTTTTTTAATGTCTGTACACTGCTATATAAATTAATGGTAGTGTACGGTGGTGTACGGTGGTAGTGTATGGTGGACGGTGGTGGTGGTGATGGACAGTGGTGGTGGTGAAGAGAAGTAGAAGAAAAAAATGAAGAAGATGTTAGAAGACATTAGAAGGCATATGTTAATGTCTTCTCCAAGAAGATGCCAGAAAGACCTTTTTGAGTGAAATGTCTTCCAAAAAACAAACAATCTGCAGAGAGCTCAGCATCTGCGCGGCGCAGATAAAAGAGGCCAGAAGCTCTTCTGGCCAAAAAACAAACACCCCCTAGTGTTTAGGGCCATGGCCGTGCCGTCACGATACGTTGCCTATGATGTTGGAGTGTAGGATTGGTATTGACTCAGGTGGGTTCTAGTTGACCATGACCCAAGTCAAGCTCTAGGTGAAATACGAGTATTATTATTACACATTATTATTATTATTATTATTATTATTATTATTATTATTATTATTATTATACTCTCTCCGTCCCCAATTTGATTACAAATTGTGGGTTACGAGGAGAAATTTTTCACTTTTTGAAATCATTTTATTTACAAATTGGTATATCAATAATATATAAAAATTAAAAATTGCATATTAAAAAATTACGTCAAAAGTTCTACAAAAAAATGTGACAAGAATATTTTATTTTATCAAATACTTAATGAAATCGTGTAAATAAACAAAAGTTATTGAGAGAAGAGAAAAAAATTGTAATCAAAATAGGGACGGAAAGAGTATTTATTACGAGTATTATTATTATTATTGTTGTTGTTATTATTATTATTATTAGAGAGTGTTATTATTATTATTATTATTATTATTACTATTGTTATTATTACGGAGTATTATTATTATTATTACTACGAGTATTATTATTATTACTTTTGTATGCATTTTTTCTTAAATTAGGTGAGTTATTGGTACTCCCTCCATTTCTAAGTACTTTGTGTTTCTCTACAAATTAAAAGATAATATTATATATTGATATAAAAATAATTTTTTTAGGTTTAGTTTATAAAATATTTTTAAAATATTATTCATATCATCAATATACGATATACCCCAGAACATATTATATTTAATTATATGTCAAAATTTGAGAATAGTTGAGTGTGAAAAAATAAAAATGGGAAAAATACGAGGTAGCAAGAGTTTTTGTTGAAATTGGGGAAGTAATTTTCCCAAGAATTACCCTCTCGCGACCCATATTTTGTTCGGGTGCCCCTAAACTTATGACATAGAATCATTGGTGAAGAGGGTGCAGCAGCAACCATTTGGGCACGAGTTGGTACATCGGGATGTACCTAGAAATAGGTACATCCCGGTAGTACTCAATCTGAAATAAAGTAGTACTCATTCTCGTACAAATATAAACATTCATTTCAAAATATGTAGTACTCATTCTGGCAAAGGTAGTACTCATTTTAAAATAAAGAAGTACTCATTTTTACACATTTATCTAATATAATTATAATAAATAGCGTAGTATTCATTCTTTAAAAAACAATACTCATTCTCAAATAAGGAAATGTTCATTCTGAAATAAAGTATTGTTCAATTTTTTCACAATTAAAAAGTTTAGTACCATTATCAACTTCTTCCTCTGTTCGATTCATTCATACTCATTTATACTCTCTGAGCATGGAGAATTTAAAACTCAAGTTTATTCATGTTTGTATTGAATAAAATGTGATAATTCTCATTAGTGCTGATAGTCTTTCTCAAATCTGCTGATACTCATAATCATATATAATAGTTCTCATATATGTTCATGACATTAGATAAAGAATTTACAAAATTTACAAAAATACTTACCATACATATAATTTGCCTTTGGGCACCGAAGCATTTTCCATTTTATTGAGGTCCCTCTCCCCCAACTCATCATCACTCCTTCTGAGACTGCTCCATAACCACCGGCGTATCAAAGCAATGGAATCGAACCTGAAGTTGAACCAGGGCAACTCCAATCGTCCCGCTAAATCCCTGTTTTTCGATCGCCGATACGGTTGGGTGTAAGCCGTCACTCCGCCCGGCCGAATACCTGGCATTTATGTGCGTATGTGTGTTTCAGTTTAACACATATCTGAATTTGAATGCATAAATTTTGCGTTTTTCAGGTTTGATGAGTGGAAGGACCCATCAGATCAAGCAATGGAAGGTGGCCGAGGAATGTAATCGAATTTTTTTAATTAAAAAAACAGTTTAATTCCAATTTTTAAGGTTTTGATTTGACTGTTAACTTTGTTTTGCTGTTCTTAAGGTTCTGCGTTTTGCCTTTAGCAAAAGCTTTGTTGAAGATTGCTTCACAAACGGTACGCAGATTTCTCTTTTACTCAGAATACTAATTAACTCCCACCATATTGATTTTGATAATGACTTCCTCTTTTTGAATTGTGAATGATAGAAATAAACAAACAAACAACAACAACAACCCAGTTAAATCCCACAAGAGTAGGGTCTGGGGAGGGTGTGTGTACGCAGACCTCGCCCCTACTCGAAAGTAGAGAGGCTGTTTCCAAAGAGACCCCCGGCTCAACGTCAAAAGTTGCATTGCTTGACTAACTGCTACTTCATTAATTAAAGAAGCGCAGACAGTTTAGAGATCCATTTTGATTTATTCCATCACACCCCAAAGCCAAAAAATGGTAAAATTTTGGCTCCATCAGAGATGATGGAAATGTGAATGATAGAAATAAAATAAAATAAAATAAAATAGGAGTGCCCTCTATAATACAATTTTGAGGGTATTGTTTGTAATTTTACCTTTCCTTAAATTTGTTAAGTTTTGAAGAGTGAATAACTAAACTCTAGGGAGCATATGCACTACCTTAAATCCCAAAATGAAGTTCTTAGCACTCACAAGTGGAGTTACCAATACGTTAATAAGAGATCTCTATTTTGTATCACTTGATCTCCTCGAAAGAAATCAATCAGAAGGCCTAACTATTCCTTGTGTTATGTGATCAACATTTGTTAATTGCCATCCAGAGGATGAGTGTTGTGGCTCAGATTATTATGAGATCTTGAATTTTTGTGGCTCGGACTATTTGAACATTGCCATAGATGAAAGAATCATTTCTGCCAAATGGAAAAGACCATAAGGCCTTTATGAGTTTCTATATATAGAAATCATCAGTCGTGGTGCTTTTAGCTTTGCTGCAGTAGAATGCGCTTGAGTTTATTTGGAAATCTCATAAGATTTACTCCCTCCATCCAAAAATGATCTTCCCATTCCTTATTCATAGAGTCAAACTTTATTCATTTTGTTGGTCTATTTTCGATGCCAATTTGATAAAATAATATAGTCATGTAACCTCTAGTTTTGTAGATCTTTTGATGTAGTTTTAAATATTTAATTTTATTTTTTAATTCTACACTATTTTCATATTAAATGGTTTGAAAATAACTTCAGTCAAACATCGTAATTCGCAATGAGAAGATTATTGTTGGATGGAGGGAGTACTTGTTTTATTTTTTGATACAATGGAACACGAGCTTTGGTTTTGTTTGTTGCAAGTAATAATCATGATATCTTCCCGATATGAGTAGTGGAATTCAAGTGTTGAGATGAATTTCCATCATTAGAAAAAATTTCACCTGTAGCTTTGATTCATTGAAAAAGAAAACTTCAGTAGGCACTAATGAACCCTATTGTTATGTGTTTCACTGTTTCCATAATTATTCATTTAGATGGTTTTATTGTTTAATTTTTTTTCTTTGGTAATACCTTCCGTATTGATCATTGATCATCAAAACAAAGCGCTATGATTCCAGGCCTGGCATCCTAATGGAGTCATATGATAAGTGTGAATGTTATTGTGGCTATCTATTTCAAGTCATATTTTGTATTGTTGAGATAATGACATCCACAGAAGCTTCAAATTTTCAATTACTTTGCAGAATATAGTTAACCATATTTTTTGGATGTCGAAGTAATTGTCAACTTACCTTATTTGTCGAATAAATGGTGAAAAGTACCCAAAATGCCCTTAAATAGCATATTTGACTTCGTTGTCAAACCATGGAAGACAAGTCTGTTTCAAGGGATATTTCTACCAATTCACTACATTCCTTAATTTCAAGGGATTGGGAAAAGTTGGCATCTAAATCCAGACGAAAGAAGTATTAGGTTCTAACCATATTGGCATTTGATTTTATCTTTGACACTTGAACTATGAGTGTCACCATACATGGAACTATATGTGGCTCATACTACTTGTATCTGTGCTTTTTTATATACAGATTGATTCTGCAGTCATCAGTGTTGTCAAAGTTCTAGAAAATCCCAACTCAGTTTCACCTCAACTGGTGCAGACCAATCTACATGCCCAATTCAACAAAATCAAATCCTCAATGGAGAGAGAAACTGGAGCTCAATTTCATGAAGCATAGTAAAGATCTCAGGTCGGAGTTCACTCCTCCCAACCTAAATGGAGAAAGTGCCGAAACAGCATCCAGATGTTAAAACTTCGATAACGCTGACACCATGTAAACATTGGTATCTAAAACTGCTCATACTTGTCTGTGTTTATGTGGCCTCTAGGCTTTCGATAATCATTCTTGTAGTTCTATGCCGTGTTTTCTCGCTTGTATGGAAGAAGCTAATTACTGTATTTGGCTTGCTTCTTGTGCATAGCAAAACCTGGTGGGAAAACACACTGACATTTGGCATTGCTTTCTAATGAACTAAACATGCAGTGTAGTGACAAATGGAGTTGTTAGAATGATGAGTCTTTTGGTTAATGACTCTGTGTGGCATTTGCTTTAGCGTTTGGACTTTGTAATTTTGAAAATGGTATCTAACTTTAGGGTCCGTTTGGTACACGGAATTGACAGATGAAATTGGAATTGAATTGGGAGTTGAAATTTTATGGAATTGAATTCTCCAATTCCAATTCATTTTTCGCACTACCAATTCCAAATCCGTATATTTTTGTGTTACCAAACAACAGAATTGAAATTATTGTCCTTAATTCTATTTTCATAGTTTGAATTTCATGTAACTAAGAGAGCCTTAGTGTTTTTTTGAGTGATGCTAAAATTTGTAATGGTATTGTAACTTTGAATTAGTGATGCTAAAATTTTTAGGTGGTTATTGAATCCTCACAAAAAAAATGAAAGTATCTTCAAAATTATATAACTTGTAAATTTGAACCGGAAGTAGTTAACTCATATGAAGAATTTTATTATTTGAATATGTTGGAATGGTACTAAAGTGTGAATTTAATGACCAAGTATTGTCGTAAAATGAAATAAAAAAACACAGGAATAATTTATAATATGGTTTAAAATGTTTAATTGTTAAGAAAAATAAAATTAATCGACTAATCAATTATTTACATTTATATTTTTATGATTTTTTTCATATCACATATACTCATATAAATAAAACGAAGTACCTAAGAAAGTTTGGTTTATTCGGTTCGGTTTGGTTTTCCAAAGTGAAAACCAAAACGGAAACCAAACAATAACGGTTCAGTTTAGTTTTTTTACATTCGATTTCAGTTTTTTCGGTTTGATTTTTTTTTTTAGCTCGTTTCGATCAGTTTCAGTACGGTTTGCAGTTTTCAATTTTTCAAACCCAGCCCTATTCCTTAAGGGGGTTGCTATTAACATTGATGCTCATTTTGTCCATGGAAATCTACGTTCTGTCCAACGAGTTTGGTGAAGGTGGGGGTGGCGGCATACTTAGCTTGTAGCCTTCGTCTTCACCTTCTTTGTCGCCTTTGTCTCAATCAGACGACTCTGAAGTCAATGGATACGCCACCTCACTTGTCGAGTACTCTCCAGCATCGAGACTTTGGTTCGCTAAATTTCCTCCGACAGCTAAATTTAGGGCCCCTCTTTAGAAGGTTCTAGATATCCATGAACTTGAAAACCCTTTTCTCCACTTCAAAAAAAGAGGTCATTCACCTTCGAGGTGATGTCGACAGTGTTGCTCCCACTCGACCACGTCGTTTGGATGTTTGTAAATACGAAGTATGACATATATCGAATAGCACGCCCCCAATGTTTCGAAGCATCTTCGGGTAACGTTTGGGCATACCTTCGAGCCTCCCGATGTTTTCCCTCTCCGCAACATGGTCCAAAACATCTGGTGTCATTGGTAGTTCCCTATCTGGTGTCGTTGGACCCAATCAATTGACGAGGGAAATTGGTGATGTTGCCTTGGTTTTTTTATACTCCCTCCGTCCCCTTGTATTTGTCCACATTTGACTTTTGGAACTGTTCATCTAAGCACTTTGACTCATCAAATTCTCTCAATGTGTAAGCCTAAATATAGTCATGTGTGATCTTGTTTGATTTGTTTTAACATATAGATTATTAATATATAATTTTTATAATTTTTTAATATACAAATTACAAGATAAAATGGATTAAAGAAGTGCATTGGATGGTGTCTAAAAATGAAAGTAGACAAATACAGGAGGAAGGAGGGAGTAACAAGTATAAATGCCATAATATGACAAACATATGTGTTAGTCATATCATAACATGACAACAAAACTTGTTGTCAAGAGAAGGGCCAACAAAAGATAAGAAATATTTCCTCCTTTAAAAAAAGATTATCACAGATTAATTTTTTCAAACTATGTAGTACTATCGTTACAAATTGTAAAAAAGTATACTCCCTCCGTCCAGGAAAATGACATTTCCTCGTTTTTAGTGAGGGTTGACTACATCATTAAAATGTCCAAATTACCCTCCTATCTTTTGCCCCCCACCCCCCACCCCCCACTATCTTTCCTTTGCACAGCCCACCGCCACCCCTCTGTTGCCCCAGCCCCATCGGACCACCACCCCACCGCTATCCGTGACCCACTGCCGCCCAATCGCTGCCTCAGCCTCAACACTACTCCACCGCCCACCACTATCCTCCCCCAACGTCGAAGGAGGAGGAGGGGAAGGAGGAGGAGGAGAAAGAGAAGAAGAAGGGAGAGCGGGAAGTGAAAGAAGAAGATAAGGCCGAGAAAGGAAAGGGGGAAAACAAGAAAAAGAAGGGGAAGAGAGAGAGGGGGGGAGACTGTGAGAGAGAGAGTGGGAGTGATGAAGATAAGGCCGGTTTTGCCGTGGGGAAGGTGAAATGGGGAGAAGAAATGTTGAAGGAGAAAAGGGTAATTTTGGAAGAATAGGTATAAAAACGTAGACTGGAAAAAAATTTTCGGACGAAAAAAGGTAGAGTAGGAAGTTTATTCTTGGACGGAGTATTTAGTTAAAATATGAATTCTTCTAAAATTAGATTAATTTGAAATATAATTTTGGTAAATCAAATTTTTTATAATATTTAAATATATAAAATTATTTTAGTTTATGGTTAAAATATTACACAATTTTATTAAAAAAATTAAAGTGCATTTAACTATATAAAATTAAAGTATGCTGTGGCCTGTGGAAGTTGAAACTCTTGCGTAAATTGCTCTCTCACTTGTGTCAGTTTGTTACCTTGCAACTTTGGAAGCATCAATGGTTCCAAATATCTCCAATCGCTATTCTTAATCAACTGCTGCCACATACAGAGTATATCTCGCTCCAGCCATCCATGGTAGTCCCGTCATCATCGCCATGGAAATCCTTAGCTCCCTTTCCCTTACCAGCTCCCCGATCCCTCCCAAACTCCGCTATATCCCGACTCCATTTTCAGTGTCTCGCCTCAATCGCTCGAGAAGCTCCCGATCCCTGACTCGCTGCTTCCATAACCCTGCCGTTGCCACCAAGTTCACCCGAATCAAAGTCGGCGAGGATTTTCCCGCCGAGTACGGTGAGTGGTTTCCTGAGGTCGATCCCGGCCGCCGTAGGAGAGCCGGAGTTTTGCTCCACCCGACCTCGTTACGCGGCCCTTATGGCATTGGAGACCTTGGCAGGGAGGCATTCAACTTCATTGACTGGCTGCATTTGGCTGGTTGCTCTGTTTGGCAGGTAATGTCTCCCGTTTCGTGCTTCTATCTTTTTTAGACTTGCAATTGGGTGAAAGAGTCTATGCGAATTCTTCGATAAATTTCCACTTTGGATCTGATAAGTTCTAACATCGTATCTGAAATTTAGTTTTAATGGCATTCATGTTGGTGCAGGTTCTTCCACTTGTTCCTCCTGATGATGAAGGATCGCCATACTCGGGGCAGGTCTAATTCTGTGACCAATAGTCTGTACTCTGTAGTGTAAAAAATGGCTTCTTTCTAACCCTTTCCTTTGGAAAAAGTAGTCTAAATAGAAAACCTTTCCGCTTTACATGATAAAAAAGCAGCTCCTCTATTCCTATTTGAATCAAGATGTGAGAGACTCGAGAAAGTTGTGTCCAACCCCGTTGTTATCTTGAATATGCTTCATTGACACTGTCTTAAAATAATTGGCTCTAAAAACGCAATCAAGTTTTTAAGGGGTATGGTACTACCACAGCCTGATTTGTGTACTTAGGCATAGATTAGAGGTTTGCAACAAAATAATTTGACCAAAACACCCCCACTCTATATGTATAAACCCATTTTACTTTTTTAGCCATCATCATCTTTTTTCTCCTCCCTCATCTCTTTAAAGCATGTGCCGAAGATGCTGGTGATGTTTCATTTTCTCATTTTTGCCATTGATGGAAAACCCCTAGATATAATTTGATTTCAACAATCTATATAAGAAAATTAGTAGCAGTATAGCCAAAACACAATGGGTTTGTATGTTAAAAGTGAGGGACATTTTGTCAAATTATTTTGTTTTAGACACCTTGTCAATGCCCAAATGAACTAATCAGTGTGTGTTGTTTATACGTGGCCAGATGATCAGTATCATGCCCCTTAAAAAATTGTTAGGCGTGTGGAGCCAATTGTTTCATGATAGGGTTTATGATGTCATTTTGGTGTGCTTGAAACTATGGACGAACTATCGGGTGAAATTAAATTAAGCAGTTCATGCTTATTGCTGTGCTTGAAACTATGGACAAACTATTTGAATCCAAAAGAAATACTTTTCCCTTGTCATTGTAATTCATGGTCTTACGATTAAGCCTCAGCTACATTATATTCTCTCTGTTCCTATTTAATCTTCCCATTTGCGTCTTACACGGAGTTTAAGAAAGGTGCAATTGTGTGTTTGAAATTTGTGCCAGGGAGGGAGAATGCATGTGAATCAAACAATCCTTTCTATAAAAGGAAATAGGAAGATTAATTAGAGACCTCCAAAAGGAGAGTGGGAAGATAAAAAGGGGTAGAGGGAGTATGAAAGTTGTACGTAGTATAATGATGTGAAAGTGTGTTTCAATTATTTGGTATATTTCAGCATAATTGGTTTTAATATCTCGATATATTTAAAACAACAAAGTTTTAAGTTGTGGCAGTCCTAAAATTTTGCTTTTAGGATGCAAATTGTGGTAACACCCTTTTGATTTCTCTCGAAGAGCTCGTTAGTGATGGTCTGCTAACAACAGATGAGCTTCCACACCCAATGTAAGTTTTGATATTTGATTGATTGATTAAAAATCTATATTGGCTCTCATGTTGGGGTCTGATAGAATAAAACAAATTGGTTCTTTCAACTATCTGCGCTTCTTGCAATTGTGAAGTAGCTGTTAGTAAATGCAACTTTCGACACTCATATGAAAATAGCCGCTCTATGTTTTAAACATAGGGTTCAGACTGCGTACATCCGACCCCCCCTTACCCCGCAATGGTGGGAACTGTTGAGGCACTGGGGTAATGTTGTTGTTGCTGATTAAAAATCTATATTGGCTATATGAGGAAACCTATTTTTACGTGCTTACATGAGTTACATCTCTTCACTATTGTGTTTCAATGCAGTGATGCTAATAGCGTGAATTACTCCGTTGTTGCCAACATAAAGGACTCCTTAATAACTAAGGTGAATAAAGCAATACTCCTATATCTTCAAACGTTCACGTTTTGGTGTATGATGTTTGACTGAATTTATTTTCAATTTAATTTATTTAAGTTGTGGTCCAAGAATCTAATATTAAAAAGTAAACTTTTTCCTTTGAGGCAATGTGGTAATGTTGTTGTTTTAAAAACAATCTCATCCATTTCAAATTAAAAGTCCACTTTGACTGGACAAGAAGTTAAAGAAAAGAGTTGAAAAGTGAAAAGTGTGGTTGGAATGGATTTGGAAGAGATGAAATAATGACAACCACTTTTCCTTACCAAAAAGCAAATGAGACTTTTTTTTTGTGACATAGCGAAAAAGAAAGTGTGTTTTTTATTTTGTTGTATCTTGTTCTGCGAAACAAGAGGTTGTTGTTCTGTTGTCTGGTTGTCAGGTTGTTTTTCTGTTGTTTTACAAAAACAAAAGGTTAATTGGCTATTTTATTTAAACACATGATCAATGGATATATGCAAGGGGAAAAGATATAGTTGTACGGTTGTCCCTATGATTAGCAAGTGTAAAGTTCTTTTGGAGACGGATGGCGTAGTTGGCATTCAAACTCGTTTCACAGGATCTAATATTCAGTGTTAGACTTTCATGTTGGTTGAAGACAATATATCACCAATGAGATTGTTAGTAAATTTGTTATATGTATGCACCATGTGATCTAAGTATACTTTAGTGAGTTTGATCACTTCTTTCTTTATTGATAATTGCTTGTTTATTCACCATTTCGTAGGCAGCAGAAAGGCTCCTCTCAAGTGACGGTGAACTCAAGGTTCAGCTTGAAGCTTTTCGTAGAGATCCTGGTATATCAAGTAAGATAATTTAATCTTTTGTGAATCAGGTGTTATGTTGATACGTTCAATTTCTACTTTCTTATTTTCTATTAATTATATTTTCAAGACAAGTATTCTACATTTTTTTCATCCAATGAATAATTATTGTAGAAGACTTGTACACGTGAAGTCAATGTAGAGATGGGGGTTTGGGGTGGATTTTGCCGGTGAAGAAAATGCATGAGCAGAAATTCTAAATCAATATCATTTTCCTAATCCAAACCCTTACTTTTGCTGGATTCAATTTTTTTTCATGTATTTAAGTCAAATGTAGGGTTCAGGTGAGTACAGGATTAGATATGCACGCACATTGAAGTACTTAATTCTCATATATTTTCACAGATTAAATGTGTGTGCACATAATCATGGGCCAGAGTTACAGTGTTCATATTTCAAAGTTTAATCGCTGGAGGCATTTCTAATCTTTTTTATCGCAATGTCCATGTTAAAGGCTGGCTTGAAGATTCAGCTTATTTTGCTGCTATCGATGATAGCTTGCGCACAGTCAGTTGGTTTGAATGGCCCGATCCTTTAAAAAACCGACATCTTGCGGCCTTGGAAGAAATCTACCAAAGCAAAAAGCATTTTGTAAGATTTTGATCGTATAAAGGAAATTGGTTCTGCAATTTCTCATCTTCTCCACCCATTGGAACCCAAATTCTAATTATATACCCTTCTACTTTCACTCGTGCAGATAGATGTATTCATTACTAAACAGTTCCTGTTCCAAAGGCAGTGGAAAAAGGTTCATCAATATGCCCAGATAAAAGGTGTCAGCATCATGGGAGATATGCCTATTTATGTGGGCTATCACAGTGCTGATGTCTGGGCAAACAAGAAATATTTTTTACTGGTTAGTGGTTTGTTTTTCACTGGAATAGCTTATGAATTATGAACTATGCATTATGTTCCTAGAACCATGGATCTTGTTGCTGGTTATTTTGTCTGGCAGAACAGACGTGGTTTCCCTCGCTTAGTTAGTGGGGTCCCTCCTGATGCCTTCAGTGAAACTGGTCAACTGTGGGGCAGGTTTGATCCTTCAGAGAAAATTTTTTATGGTGATTTCAGCATCATATTACTTTGCTATATCGTTATCTGATTATCATGCTCTTAAATTAAGCCCTCTGTATGATTGGAAAGCTATGGACAAAGACGGATATTCGTGGTGGCTTCGCCGCATCAGACGAGCACAAAATCTTTATGATGAATTCAGGATAGACCATTTTAGAGGATTTGCTGGCTATTGGGCTGTTCCTTCTGGTGAGATAACAAGCAGATCATTAACTTAATCCAATGATGATTTCTAAACATTTTCTTTACTTCACAGATGCAAAAGTGGCAATGGTTGGAAGTTGGAAGGTCAGGTTACTTTTATACTCCAAATTATTGTGTATGGAAGCTTGTTACCAACTCCAGGTGTCCATTTCATGACAGTAGGTGGGACCTCGAACTTCCTTATTCGAAGCTATCTCGAGAACTGTTGGAAAGATCAACATAGTAGCAGAAGATCTGGTAAATTCATTTCACTCGATCTAAACGATTTTCTTTCTTTTTCATCTTAGCTCTGCTTCTTTTGCTCATTTAGTGGGTGATTGCCTTCCTTTATTGGTGTTTTTGGTGGCGCAGCACAAGGTTATGATAATCACAGAAGCTCAAAATACTTCTGAACTATTTCTATACTCCCTCCGTCCGGAAATGTTCTTCCCATTTGACTTTTCATGGTCTCCAAGATTGCACTTTGACCACTAATAACTTTATTTATACATGAATATATTTTATAAAAATTTGATATTTGAAAACTATATTTCAAAATGAATATATTCATATTAAAGTTATATCGTAATACAATGTATTGTTTCCACATATCATAGTCAAAGTTTACAAACTTTGACCAAGAAAAGTCAAATGGGAAGAATATTTCCGGACGGAGGGAGTATTATTGTAACCAAGAAACATAACTTTTTTTCCTCACTGCTATATGGGTTTTCACTTTTCATGTTTTTGCTGATAGGGAGTCATAACAGAGGATGTGGTTCAGCTCAGGAAATATATTGGAGCACCTGGAATGGCTGTCCTCCAATTTGGTAATAATCCAGTACTGATTTAACGTAATTACCTTAATAGTTATACCCGCATTTTAGCATTTTATTTCTGTTATTTTTTTTATCTTTTTAAGGTTTTGGAAGTAATGCTGAGAACCCTCATTTGCCTCACAATCATGAGTGCAATCAAGTTGTGTACACTGGAACTCATGATAATGACACGGTATAACTACTCTGTCCCTTGTCTCCTCTACCTTCTCTACGCATATGCTTTTTTAGTTTTTTATGCTCTTCTGCTAAGGAATGCCTATTACTGCTTACTTGTTCATGCTCTTTTTGAACTAATTATTTTCTTCTGACCTTTCTTTCGCACATGCTTATGATTGTTTCATAGATACTAGGTTGGTGGAGTAACTTAGAAGAATGGGAGAAGACCAATGTGAGTTTTCTTTGTTCGCTTGTATCCATCAACTAATTACAGAGTATATGCGAGGTAGATTAGATTATAATGCACAATAACATCTAATCTTTTTGCTTAGGTACGGAAATATCTTTCTACTGCTGAAGGGCATGACGAGATTTCATGGTCACTTATCCAAGCTGCACTCAGTTCAGTGGCTCAAACCACGATCATAACCATGCAGGACGTACTTGGTCTGGGTAGTTCTGCCAGGATGAACATTCCTGCTACAGAGGTAAACTAAAAAAAAAATCTACGCCCTTTATTCATCAAAACAGGATGGGGGAGATACCCAAAAACATGTTTCCTTGTTCATGCCATTATTCATTCATGGTGATTACTATGTGCAGACTGGAAATTGGAGGTGGAGGATACCCAGTTCAACGAGTTTTGATATTTTGGAAACAGAAGCTATGCGATTGAAGGATATGATTTCCATGTATGGACGCCTGTAGTTCGGAAGGGTAAGAAGTCATAGCCACCAACCACTCCGCTTATTTTGCATATACTCGATGTGTGTTATAACAACCCTGAAGAGCTAGCTCTAAACAACTCCTTCAGTAATGCACTTCAAAATTGAGATGTTCTAGTTTGATTATCGGTGCTGGAATAAAAAGAAATTTAATCGTTCTGTTTCTGGAGAAATGATTGGTGCTTGGTTTGACATTGCTCTCATCTTCCAGTCCCAAAATAGTTCGACTTATCGATTCAAACCTTATGCACATCTCCTGAGTTGAGGTGTCTTGTAGAACGTAGAATATATAATATAGTATAACAGCACTAAAATTTGAAGCCCAGGACTGGCCCACAAGGATATCCACAGGGTTTGGGCCAGCCCAAAGGGATACCCTGTGGGCTTCGGGCCGGCCCTTCTAAGATTTGGTCAGAAGAGTTCTCCCTTTTGATCAAAAGAACTTGTAGATTTCTTGCATAAATATAATGTCATTATTATAAATCTAACACAATTTAATATTCTCAATAAATCACATTTCACACCCAAGACCCACTCAAAATAAATAGCATTGGTTCAACAAATACTCAAAAACAATATCAAGAAATGCTAAATCAGTAGCAACTTTGCAACTCAGGAAATGCTAAAGCGAATTGCAGAGAAGGAAAAGTGAGAATACTAGAAGAAACTGTTTCACTTTTATAAATCTAACACAGTTTAATATTCTCACTTTTAGATATGCTTTCACAAGGTCCGGAAGAATGATACTCGCAATTCTCATGTGTGGGAGCAACACATTCTCTATCTAGTATTTTTGGACAAACGGTGCAATGTTTCAAATTGTTCATGGATATTCGATTCACTTTTTAATGCTCATGTTATGACGGAATAGAGTAATGGAGTAATCAAAGTAAATAGAAAACGTAAAGACACACATATATAACATGGTTCACCAACGTTGTGTTAGTTATGTCCACGGGCAAGAACGGAGACAGATTTTATTATGACAGAGGTTCCAGAGTACAGAGTTCTTGTGCCCTATCTCTATATAAATAGACACACAAAACGGGCTAGGCCCAATACAATGATTAGAACTCAATACAACAACATAGCATTTAAGGCATATTAACAGCTCAGAAATAAATACACAAAACGGGCTAGGCCCCCGTTTATTAATCTGCGTAGCGGCAACACAATACAGATTCAAGGCATATTAACAACTCAGGGATAAATTATTCAATTTTTAAAGAGTTCGAGAATAAATGATGCACATTTAATGTTTAGAAATAAACATCCAATTTCCTAATAATTCAGGTTTAAACGGTGCACTTTTCTCCAAACACCTCGCACATTTACTTTGGGCTCCTCGTGATGCCCTATCTCACCTTCAGCGCTGCATGTCTCAACTCTCATCTAGCTAGCAAAAGCTCCCCAATTAAACCACAACCCTCACTTTTCACGGACTACATACCCCCCCTACCAC